CATTTTCAATTTACGCATGAAGTGAGACTGATATTTACTATCATGGCTAAGCATTTGGGTTTTCTAAACAAATACTAATAATTGTATCTATTCAACTTAATCATGTTAAATTTAGCCATCAGTTAACCTCAATATTTATTGTTCATCTAGTTTTTTAAATTTGTCATAAATGTACCTGGAACATGATTTGTATTTGACTGGAATTTAATAAGTTAATTTTAATTATTTTGTAATTCATTACTGTGCTTCATTTTTTAATTACATACATCTATGTTGTTGTTATATTCATTAGAATTACTTTTATGACCATATGTCTTTTATACAGTGGAACCAGGTTTTCATCCTTATCGCATTCCAGAAGGCGGTTGAAATCGAAATGGACGAACTGAAGTAATATTTCCCATAAGAAATAATGTAAATCCACTTAATCCGTTCCAGACATCCAAAAATATTAACAAAAATACATTTTCTAGACAATAACTATAGTTTTACATACAGAAAACAATGAGAAATAACTTTTTTTTTTTTTTAGCAAGTCGGCCATCTCCCACTGAGGCAGGGTGACCCAAAAAGAAAGAAAATCCCCAAAAAGAAAATACTTTCATCATCAGTCAACACTTTCACTTCACTCACACATAATCACTCTTTTTGCAGAGGTGCTCAGAATACAACAGTTTAGAAGCATATACATAATAAAGATACACAACATATCCCTCCAAACTGCCAATATCCCAAACCCTTCCTTTAAATATCGTAAATTATTTCCCCAATTAGATAGGCCCAAGATCTTTTAGTTATCTGGGCTGGTGTAGCCTTTGCCAAGTTTTATGAAAAGGAGAAAGACTTGCACCAATGAAATGGAAACTGAAAAAAAAATTCATATCTAGTCACACAGTACACCAATAGCACAAATAACCCACACATAGGAGAGAGGAGCTTATGACAACATTTTGGTTTAACTTGAACCATTTACAAAATCACACTAGTATGACTTTGTAAATGGTCCAAGTCAGACCAAAATGTCATTGTAAGCTCCTCTCTCCTATATGCGAGTTATTTGTGTATTGTTCCAGCCATGGTATTGTGCCTTTTGTTATTTATCTACACCAACAGCCCCAGGAATAGAACTGCAAAGCAGCCCAGAACCAAAAGGGTGTAAACTCTCCAGTTCTTACTTGATTTTAGTGAAATATAATACACCACTATAAACTACCAGCATGTCAAGCATCACCCTAATTTACCCAAACTCACAATTTATAGCACTCTACAAGCCTACAATCCGAGAACTTAGTAGAAAATAAAAGAGTTGCTTACTGAAATAAAGATAGTTTGATCTTTTACTTGCCATATTATTTTCAATAACTACTTGGGCCTCCCATTATGTTATGAATTACTGGTGCATACTTACTGGAGCTGAATGCTCTTCCTGAAGTTTTTGAACATGAGGAGATTTTGGTATTTGTGGCTTTGCAGGAGGATTTGTTGACTGGAAATACCGTGTAGGACTAGGGGTTTTAAACACTGTTTCATTCCCAGAAGACTCCAACATTCTTGCAGTTGTGCCCTAAGGGAGACAAAACAATTGTATAAAAAAATAGAATAATGATAATGTGCAGAATAATGATAATGTAAATACAGTACTTGGTAAGTCAGTGGCAGTACCAAAGGGAGGTTTGAGCTCCCCATAATTTCCTCTAGTCCCTCCAAGTCTCCCTTGTGAAGAAATTCATCAGATATTCAACTTATTCTTAGATAAAAATCTGTTTATACCAGATATGAGTCAACAGGTACAATAAGTATGTACACATGTATGTTTTTGGGTCACCCTACCTCAGTGGAAAATGGCCAGCGAGACAGATAGGAGTGAGTGAAGGTAAATGGTGTTTGGGACTGGATGAGCCATTGCAATGTGAGCAAGGTAACATTTTATGAAAGGATTCAGGGAAGTGGTTAGCCAGACTTGAGTCTTGGAGGTGGAAAATACAGTGCCTGCACTCTGAAGGAGGGGTGTGGATATCTGCAGTCTGTAAAGACATTTGAAATGTAGTATTGGCACACCTCTGGCAAGACACTGATGGGGTATATGATGGTGAAAATATTTTTTTTTTTTTTTTGGTCACCCTGCCTCAGTGGGAGATTGCCAGTGTGTTAAAAAAAATGGCAAAGGTTGGTGGAGGAATTTGGGGTGTGTAAAGGAAGGAAATAAGAAGTGAACATAGGGAGCAAGATGATCAGGGTGACAAACGAGTTAGGCAGTGAAAGACTGGATATTCGACTGATAGGAGGGAGTGTGGAGGAAGTGAATGTGTTCAGATGTTTGGGAGTTTACTTGCTAGCAGATGTGCATATGAAAGATGAGGTGAACTACAGAACTGATGAAGGGAAAAAGGTAGGTGGTGTACTGAGGTACCTGTGGAGACAAAGAACATTATCCATGGAGGTAAAGAAGGGAATGTATGAGAGTATACCAATACTCTACTTTTTTTTTTTTTTTAACAAGTCAGCCGTCTCCCATGGAAACAGGGTGACCCAAAAAGAAAGAAAATCCCCAAAAAGAAAATACTTTCATCATCATTCAACACTTTCACATCACTTACACATAATTACTGTTTCTGCAGGTACTCAGAATACAACAGTTTAGAAGCATATATGTATAAAGATACACAACATATCCCTCCAAACTGCCAATATCCCAAACCCCTCCTTTAAAGTGCAGGCATTGTACTTCCCATTTCCAGGGCTCAAGTCCGGCTATATAAAAATAACTGGTTTCCCTGAATCCCTTCATTAAATATTACCCTGCTCACACTCCAACAGCTCGTGAGGTCCCAAATACCATTTGTCTCCATTCACTCCTATCTAACACGCTCATGCACGCTTGCTGAAAGTCTTATACAGGAATGAAATGGGTTGTTAATGTTGCAGCGAGGAGGAGGATGGAGGCAGTGGAGATGTGTCTGAGGGCAATGTGTGGTGTAAATATTATGCAAAGAATTCATAGCTTTAAGATTAGGAGGAGGTGTGGAGTTACTAAAAGTATTATCCAGAGGGCTGTGAAGGGGTTGCTGAGGTGGTTAGGATATTCAGAGTGGATGGAGCAAAATACAATAACTTGGAGGGTGTATAAATCTGTAGTGATGGGAAGGCAGAGTAGGGGTCACCCTAGGAAAAGTTGGAAGGAGGGGGTAAAAGAGGTTTTGTGTGAAAGGGGCTTGGACATCAAGTAAGCATCTGTGACTGTGTTAAATAGGAGTGGAGGTAAATGGTTTTTGGGAGCGACAAGCTGTTGGAGTGTGAGCAAGGCAATATTATGTGAAGGGATTCAGGGAAACTGGTTAGCCAGGCTTGTGTTCCAGAGGTGAAAAGTACAGTGCTTGCACTCTGAAGGAGGGGTGGGGATAAGTGCAAGCTATTTGTGTATTGTAACTTTATATTCATTATGAGTGATGATTGAGCAACACTAGGGAAAAGGCCTGTTAGGTTATTAACAGAGGCATTTTTCTTGCTAAAGAGAAGTTGAACACTGAAAGGGTGGGACTGTATGTGAAATAGAGATTTGTAAGAAATAAAAATATTAAAATGGGGTGTGTGCTAAATATAAGTGAAATACTGTAATACACTTAATCCACTTTCACTTCAACCCTGACAATAAATTTTTTGCCTCTTTTAAACACAACTGGCATTTTTTATTACATTCTATACAGTACGTACTTAAAACAACATGGTCCTGAAAATAAAGAGCCTTTGATCCTACATGTCAAGATAAGATAAGATTTCGTTTGGATTTTTAACCCTGGAGGTTTAGCCACCCAGGATAACCCAAGAAAGTCAGTGCATCATTGAGGACTGTCTAACTTATTTCCATTGGGGTCCTCAATCTTGTCCCCA